ATCCATGACTGATTTATGTCAATGTATGACAAAAACCACTACAATGTCATAAAGTAATTAGCCTCCAACTAATAAAAATAAATGGAAAAAGAAAAAAGAGGAGTAGGAATAAACGTAGGCATCCAGGTATGGGTAAGAGTTGTAGAAGCTGAGAAGAAGAGGAAGAATGATAAAGGGAGGGAAACTTTCAGGTGCAAATATACAAATGAACTTAATCTGGGTAGGAATGGCCCAGCGGAAGTAGAAAACTGCTACCAAGGAGAAATAGATAAAATTGACAAGGATCGGGGGCTTGGCACCTAAGGTTGTCATGTACAAACAGTAACAGAATATAAAGTCAGATAAGATGGAATTTACAGCTACAGGAGTACATTCTTATAGGATTTCACATCCTAACACAGACCCTGGGAGATGGTGCTGACTCCTTCTTGGATGGCATTTAAAAGTTCAGAAAAGGTGATGGCTCACACTAAGTGACATAAAAATTACAAAATGTCATGGCAGATGGTGGAAGAAGGTATCACAAAGATTCAGAGAAGCGGTATGGTAAAAGAATATACTAAGTAAGGAAACTAGCCCACCAACTGACTGTGTTCCCTAAGAGGGCTGAGAGGATACAAAAATGATACAGACTGTGCTGGTGAGAGGGGCGCCAGCATCACTGGGTAGCTCAGAGGTGCTGTCCAGTGTTCACCTCAGCTGGTAGTGAGAGACACTGACCTGGGTATAGAACCAGATTCCCTGAGAGCAAAGGGATGACAGGATCTAGAATCACGGAGATCAGTGGCAGTGCTTACCCATCAGAAAAGAAGTGGGCCTGATTGTTGTAATTAGCAGTTAAGTGCCTGAGGCAGCCAGGGCCTTGACCCACAGAAAGCTACAGAAGGGGTTAATAGTCTACTGTGTTCCTAGATAGGTGGGCATCTCGTTGACTTCTCAGGGTACTGTTTAACATTTACAATAAAAACACAAACCAGGAATGGATGATCAGGAGGTTGAGGGCAAGTTACACAAAAAAAAGTCACAACCCCTCGAACAGTTTCCAAACCTGAGTAAGCTTTCAAAAATGAAACCATTGACTGGAGGAAAAGCCAAGTTCCCATGAAGAAGGACTGGAAGAGCAATGACAAGTATACTCAGTAATGATTCCCCCAGTCTTTCCCCTAAAGAAAATCAATGGTCATTTACTTGGGTAACTGTTCCCTACTGGGGCTTCCCTGATGGCTCAGCAGTCAGGAATCCACCTGCAGCGCAGGAGTCATAGGAGACACAGGTCGGATCCCTGGGTTAGGAAGGTCCTCTGGAGGAAAGCATGGTAATCCACTCCAGTACTCTTGCCTGGAGAATCACCATGGACAGAGGAGCCTGGAGGGCTACAGTCCATAGCGTTGCAGAGTTGGAGATGATTGAAGTGACTTAGCATGCAAACACACACCCTGGGGGAAAAAAGAATGCCTAGATACATTAAACACCACTTGGCAGAGGATCCAAGTTTTGTTATTGAGATCCAGGAACTAAAGCATTATCATGCCTCCTCCATTAAAATGGGGGACATATGGTGGTTTGGTAGTAATTTATGGGCCCTCCATTGGGTCTAAAGATGCCCCGTTGTGGTCATTTCTCCAGTTCAGTTCCGTTCAGTCGCTCAGTCAAGTCTGACTCTTTGCAATCCCATGGACTGCAGCACTCCAGGCTTCCCTGTCCATCACCAACTCCCAAAGCTTGCTCAAACTCATGACCATTTAGTCAGTGATGCCATCCAACCATTTTATCCCGTCGCCCCCTTCTCCTCCTTTGAAATCCATTGATTTTCTTTACGGGGAAGACTGGGGAAATCATTACTGAATATACTTGTCATGGTGTTTATACTTTATCCAGCTGCTCAAGGATAAACAGAAATAAATCTATTTGCCCATTAGAAGAACCCTCATCTCCACTTTCAGCCATGAAATTAAAAGACCCTTGCTCCTTGGAAGAAAAACAGTAACAAACCTAGACAGCATATTAAAAAAACAGAGATATCCCTTTGCCGATAAAGGTCCATATAGTCAAAGGTATGGTTTTTCCAGTAGTCATTGATGGATGTGACAGCTGGACAATAAAAAAGGCCAAGCACCAAAGAATTAATGCCTTCGAACTGTGGTTCTGGAGAAGACTCTTGAGAGTCCCTTGGTCTGCAAGGAGATCAAACCAGTCAATCCTAAAGGAAATCAATCCCGAGTATTCAATGGAAGGACTGATGCTGAAACTGAAGCTTCAATACTTTGGCCACCTGATGTGAAAAGCTAACTCATTGGAAAAGACCCTGATGCTAGAAAAGATTGAGAATGGGAGGAGAAGGGGACAACAGAGGATGAGATGGTTGGATGGCATCACCGACAAAGGCATCACTGATGGCATCAATGAACATGAGTTTGGGTAAACTCTGGGAGATAGTGAAGGGCAGGAAAGCCTGGCATGCTGTAGTCTATGGGGTCACAAAGAGTCAGACGTGACTAAGCAACTGAAAAACAACACCATCTCCACAAGTTTCTTGGCTTATGGAATATGAGCTAACGTAGTGAGGAGGAACGAGTGGAAGCCATAAAGCTGTTTCCTACCTGCTGGCAACAAACAAACAAATAATACTGCATCCTGGACAGGAAAGGAAATCAATCCTTAAAGACCTAATGCATGTAGGGTTGGTGTTTCACCATCACATCCTCATTTAATTCAATGTCTGACCCCTACTACAACCGAATGGATCCTGCTGGACAGCAGCAGACTACTGCAAAATCAACCAAATAGTAGCTCCCATTACAGTCACTGTGGTGAATGTGAAAAACAATACACTCACCCAATCTATACCAGATTCCTAAGATTCTGGATCAGTGTTATATTTGGGATGAATGTGTTATATTTAATCACTATCAGTGAAGAAGGTCATAAACAGTCCATATCCACAAGGGATGGAAAACAGTATGTCATCTACAGTATTTTCCAGGGCTGTGTTAACTCTCCCACCTACTAACATGACATAATCTCAAGGGACCTGGGCCATCTGGACATTCCTCAGATTATCACATTGGTCCACTATATCTGTATCAATGACATCAGCTTAACTTGGCCCTTAAGGAGGATTATCTAACCATGGGACAGACAATGAGTGCTGACCATGAGCTGGATCTTATCAGAACTAATAAGTCCTAAGGTTGTATTGCAGTCTATCATATGATAAAGTGGTATATTTGGGATTAAGCAGGTGGCTCAGCACCTTCTCCCCATGTCATCTACCACTGCTGTCTCAAAGTTACTCCTCTTGCACCATCATGGCCATATATTGGCTTTGTATGAGCAGCTGATAGAGCATGATCATTGTATGAGTCAGTTTGGCACTTTGGATTAAGCCAAAATGAGTTGTTGTCTATAGAAAAGCACTATGGAGAGGTGGCCTTAAAAGACTGTGAGGTTAGTCTTACCAATGGGACAGTGTCAAATACTGCATAGTCATCCACTTTGTGGGGAAAAAAGAAATGGCTCAAATTAAGAATATACAAGGATTCATGGACAGTCACAATGCATTGGCTGGTTGGTCAGGGACCTGATTAAAAAATACTGAAAGATCAGCAAAAATAATTCTGGAAAGCAGGCAGACTAAATGGACTTCAGGGGCATGGGCACAAAGTTTTAAAATATCTGTATCCCATGTTATTACCCATCAAATATCAGGTTTCATGGAAAAGGGGGAAGAAAAACCAAGTAGAAAAAACCTGACTGCATATAAAGCTACCCTCTGTCACTGGCATCCTCAATGCTGGCACAACATGGTCATGAACAGAGCAGCCATGGTGGCAGCGATGGAGATGATGCCTGGGCCCAGCACAGAGGTCCCATTCACCAGGTGATTTAACTGCTGCTATCACTGTCTAACCTTCCAGTTAAAAAGACGAATGCTATGACTCTAAAACAGCACCATTACTTGAGGAAAGCGGTCACTTGGTGGCAAGTTAACTACACCGTGGAAAGGGCATCAAATAATTCTGACTTGAATCGATATATCTCATGGATGCTGTGCTCAGTCGCTAAGTCATGTCTAACTCTTTTGCAACTCTATGGACTGTAGCCTGCTGGGCTCCTCTGTCTACGGAATTTTCCAGGCAAGAATACTGGAGTGGATTGCTATTTCCTTCTCCAGGGGATCTTTCCAACCCAGGGATCAAATGTGCATCTCTTGCATCTCCTGTATTGCAGGCAGATTCTTTGCTGCTGAGACACCAGGGAAGCCCTATAATATGGACACTAATTTGCTTTTTTGCTTCAGGGCTTTGACCAGTGCCACTGTACAGCTTTGGTTACTGCCAGCTTCTAGTTTCCCTCTCCCTTGGGTGGCCTTGGCTGAAGGAAGCCACCATGCTCAAAATTACGCCACCCTTCCTGAGGCAGCCCTCATCCAATGATTGTGCATGCGTACAAAGCCCAGTCCTATCACCTAACTATGGAACAACTCAGAAGGGCCATCACGGCATCACATGGCACATCACATCTATTTACGAAGTTCTGCTTCTCTCTTTACCCAGTCCTACTCCATTAACTCCCTTTTAGGCATCATTTCTAAAAGAACTCCCAATAAACCTCCACATACAAGCCTCCATCCCAGACACTGTCTCCTGGGAAACTTGACCTAAGACACATTGACTCAGAATGAGAACAATTAATAACGTCTCATTTATTTGGTCAGCCACCCTAACCCTAACCACATGGAGGTGCAATTGCACAGATGCTCTGGACAAGGGTTTCCTACATGTATTCAATACACACAAATACTTTTAACATGGCTAGGTCTGTTTTTCAGAAGGAAAAAACCAAATGACAAAATAGAAGAATATCTTTGCAATTGTATTAGATAGAGTTTGCCAAATAAGTATTTGGAGTCTACCAGATTCAGATGTATTTATGCTTTTTCACTGGTTTTCTTTAAAAACAAAGGTTTGGCTTTCTATTGCCCATATACATATACTTACTGCTCCTTATTGCTGCTGTTGTTAACATTAAAAAGTGCGATGGCTCCAGGCAGGTACTGCTCCCTGGGAAATGAAAAAGTACAGGGAAGTCTTAGTAGTTACCATATATACAACGTCCATGGTAAGCAAGCAGTCTTAAAGAACAAATGCTTTCCAGTTTCTACCCATTACTAACTAGTGCCTAGGCAATTTTTGAAAATAATAACCTCCATGAAGTGTGAGTTGCTGAATGCCAGTGCTGTGAATCAAATCGATCAGTAAATGTCTATTCATCAGCGCTTACAATGGATCACATTAGCCTTCTCCACAATCTGAGTGAGCCAACTTGGATGCTGCTAACTCTCAGCAATAGATCTAAGTCTTAGACTGTCATAAGACAAGAGAAATGAAAACAATAGAAAAGCTGAAGGTGGTCAGTGGGGAAAGAAAGAGAGGGGAAAAAAGAGGGAGAAAGCCAAAGGAAACGTAAATAAGTGTGATAGAATGTGATAGAAGTGTGATAGAACCCCTCATCCATACCAATACCGCACTTCTTTTACACTCTCAGAGTCAATAGTTTGAGGTGGATTTGTTAGCTTTTCTCTTCTCAATACTCACCCTAGTGCTTGATTTCCCTGAAAGTAGGGTTGAAGGGGAGAGAGCATTTTAGAGAATGACAGCTAATCCCTCTCACATACAATTGCTTGGAAGAAGCATCAGAAAAGAGGAGGAAATCAGAGAGGACTCAGGCATGAGATTTCCTAAGGGACAGACACAGGTCTCAGGGAAACTGATCGGAAAGTGTGTTTATGACTCGGAACCCCATGAACATAAATTATCATCAAGCAGTGGCAGTTTCCCAAGAGAAGAAAAATATAAGGAACAGAACGTACTTCAGAGTAGCTGGGCAGCAGGAGGGGTTGCCAAGCCCATCAAGGTTGCCAAGCCCACCAAGTGGAAGAATAGTGCCTTTTTTCCATCACACTGCTCACCTCTGTGATGGTCGTCCACTTCTGTGTGTATTACTTCTAAAGGAATCCTTTGCATGGGGGTTCTCACTCTCTGATTCTTCAAATATAGAGGCACTGTCGTCATCATCATCAGAAAAGGAGCTACGGTCCAAAAGGTGGCAAAGATGAATTAGATCAACGTTTTGAGCCATTATAGGGGAACAACATTTCTCACTGGGGGATCCCTTCTCCTTCTCTCTCAAACAAACACAGACAACAATGTGTAATAAGACTGAAATGTGAGCGGTGCAGACGTAGCAATTTACTCTCAAGAAGAACAGAATTAGAGTAAAGGCACAATCCAGCACAACACATGTAATTAAGACATTACTTCCTAGGACTCCCGTGTTTGCATTGTTTGATGGGTTCATATTATAACGTCAGTGCTGGTCGGATAGAAAGTGTGATGCCCGTGTGTGCGCAGCCGCTCAGCTGTATCTGACTCTGCTATGCCACGGGCTGTCGCCCACCAGGCTCTTCTGTCCATGGGGGTTCTCTAGGCAAGATACTGATGTGGGCAGCCTATCCCCTCTCCAGCGGATCTTCCCAACCCAGGAAGCAAACCAGGGTCTCCTGAATTGCAGGCGGATTCTTTACCAGCTAAGCTACCAGGGAAGCCCCCTTTATATCTATGTGCTTAGGCACTCAGTTGTGTCCGACTCTTCGGGACCCCATGGACTGTAGTGCACCAGGCTCCTCTGTCCATGAGGCTTCTCCAGGCAAGAATACTGGAACAGATTGCCATGCCCTCCTCCAGGGGATCTTCCCAACCCAGGATGGAACCCAGATCTCCCACACTGCAGGTGGATTCTTTACAGTCTGAGCCACCAGGATAGCCCTCGATACCTACACTTTAGGTCAAATAACACAGGCTTTTTAATTAACTTGTAATAAAATTTCATTTCAGCAAAAATAACTTCAACTATATTTATACATGTTCGCTTCATTTACAGGGTGAGCACTTTAAATCGTACTCTTAAACCACATTAGCATTTCACACTATTCTTTTCCCCACGTTTCTCCATGGCACTGTTGTCTCTTTAGATGTGAAATGTTTCATGAGGAAAGGTCCTGCCAGTGATGAAGGAAATATTTGGCAAAAGTGCTCCTAAAGAATACCCACAACGATATCTATGTTCATTTGTTAGAGAAGTCAGGCTGTCACAAAGTAGAAGCAAATTCACTAAATTAAATAAATTACGAAGTTCAAGGTTTGAAATTAAAACTTTAACTGCAGTTAAACCCATTCAGATTTAAGAATGGTGGCTGGTATTAAAAATACATAGAAGAAAGTGTACATTTACCTGCATGCTCCATTTTCCATCCTTCTTATTTCCTTTTCAACATCTGGTCCAACCATATTGGGAATATTTACAAAAGAGCACCGTGTATTGATAATCATTTTCTTCATGGTTAGTTTAATATCTGGGAGAAAAAAGTCTTGTTAGTAGGAAGACTTTTTATATACTTACAAACATAATCCAAAGTTTCACTCTATCATTCTTCCAAGGCTGTATTAACAATCTTATTTCTAGTTATAGGTAGAAATTATTTTTAATAGAATATAGTAATAGTCTAATACTTTAATTACTTAGCTAGGTGTTTGTGTATTTTTTTAAAATTCAAAAATGTGCTAGAAGTGTAGAATGTTTTTTAATTTGGATTTACCCTAACTTTGAAATATTTAGATGATGTAAGTGTAGAACAAAACTATAGGGACTTCACATACACACCCAGCAATGAAGTAAAAATAAAAAGCTGTAAAATAAAATACCAAAATGGATGTAATCAGATGTGAATTTCTACAGGCATTCAGAAAAAAACAATGAGTCTCAAGTGGGATTCAAACTTTGGAGTGAATAAAGATACGACTGATCCACATTTCAGCAAGTTTCCTGTGTTATTCTGATACACATACCACTCAGCTTCTATACAACCAGTTAAGGCATCAGGAAAACACCAAGAACAAAGAAGCCCAACCTTGTGGTGGCTGGAGCCCAGCTTTACACAAAGTGAATGGCCAGCAGGCAGTTCTGCTTCTGCCTTCTTCTCTAATGTTCTGCTAGTGCCCAGAGGAGCACGCATGCTCAGTTGCTTCAGTCATAAGCGACTCTTTGACCTTATGGACTGTAGCCTGCCAGGCTCTTCTGTCCATGGGATTCTCCAGGCAAGAATACTGGAGTGGGTTGCCATGCCCTCTTCCAGGGAATCTTCCCAACTCAAGTATCAAACCGGCGCCTTTTATGTCACCTACATCGGTAGGCGGGTTCTTTCACCACTAGCTCCATGACGACACCCCTGCAGTCATGACTGACCCCAAGGTCCTTGCTGGGTCTCCAGTGTGCTGCCGTGACACGGCTGGAAACCAGTTCCTGCTGGGCCCGGACAGTGCGCCTGTGAGTAGGCACAGCCACTGCTCCCCCACCATGGACGCGGAGGCCCTCGGTGATGCTCTGCTGTGCCCAGGGCCCAGCTGTGCCCAGGATCCTCCCCCTACCCTTGCTGCTTGGTATTCACAGAGCTACCCTGGCAGGATTTCACCCCTAAGGATGTCTCCTTTAAAACTGCATACAGACAACATCTGATATCCAGAAAAATGAGCCTAGATGGGCACTAGGTATCCATACCAGCTCCTCCCCCAGACCAAGACTCCCCACTAATAAAGTGCTAGGTATCAGTAAAAAAAAAGGAAACTGGATTTTTAAAAATGTTGCTATTTCAAAAAATAAAATAAAATAAAATGTTGCTATTTCAATAAACAAAGAACGTTGCCTGCCATTCTAGTAAACCACACATGAATGTTGCCCGCCATCAGGCCATTACGTCATTGGAGCAGCTGGAGCAGGTACACCCTGAGGTGATTCGGGATGGAGAAAACAGGCCACTGTCCTAGGTAATTAAGATGCATAGCAAAGGAGTAATTTCGGTGAGCCCAGACTCTGGATACTTCCCATACACAGAAAACCACTAAAATCATTAACTTAGGAAGTCTATTTTTTGTGATTAGCACCACTCTTTTGATAGTTGATGACATGGTTTTCTTTCATTTTTTTTTCAGCAAAAACTCCTATATATATCCTCGTTCCCTCCCTACCTCTTTGGATCAGTCCCTCATAGCTATCTGCAAGGTTGCCTCTCAGATTATAGTTCTTGGTAATGTCCCCAAATAAAATACAATTCTCAACTCTTAAGCTGTATGTTTTTTCCAGTCGATCAAACAAAAACCCAGTATCTGTTCATGGGCTCCAAGAACACCAGTTCTTGTACTTAATGCTACTTGCTGTGGTCCTGCTGATGAAGACCCAAAGAAGGCTAGTGTGGTGAGAGAAAGACTGGGATGCAAGACAACCTCAACAGATCCCAGACCTCCATCTTCTGCGCCTGGCTGGTCATCTAGCCATCCCTCCGCTCCCCCCACAACACCTCCGCCGCAACTTCCCTGCACTCCCAGGTTTTTATTATATAGACTGGGAATTTTTCCTTTGTTATTTTTCTACCACTGATCTCTGGGTTTTGTTGGGAAGCTTGCCTTTGTTATGAATAAAATAGAAAAGCAAAAATTAAAAAAAGACACCATTTCATGTGAGAAAATGTATAAAATACCCCTCATTCTTTAAAATGTTACATCTTCAAGTGAGGAGGACAATAAATAATGTTATTTCACCCTACTATTCATACAACTAATGAAAATAACTAGCAGTCAGTAGTCAAAAAATAGTAAACAGGATTTTTGTGATGCTTGTTAATAAAAGTGTGCATATTTATTTAAATGTAAAGCAATTTTTAAAGAAATTTTTAAATTTTAAATTTTAAAGAAATTTTTAAAGAAAAAGAGACACAGATGTACAGAACAGACTTTTGGACTCTGTGGGAGAAGGCGAGGGTGGGATGTTTAGAGAGAACAGCATCGAAACATGCATATTATCTAGGGTGAAACAGATCACCAGCCCAGGCTAGATGCATGAGACAAATGCTAGGATCTGGTGTACTGGGAAGACCCAGAGGAATCAGGTGGAGAGGGAGGTGGGAGGGGGGATCGGGATGGGGAATACATGTAAATCCATGGCTGATTTATGTCAATGTATGACAAAAACCACTACAATATTGTAAAGTAATTAGCCTCCAACTAATAAAAATAAATGGAAAAAAATAAAGATGATGTTCTCATTGAAAAAAAAAAAGAAAGAAACAACCACTTTGAGAACTATCTCATTGACCCCTTTTCAGCATTAACATGCACATTCTGGTTATATTTATAGCATGCTGGTTTCCTATTGTCATCAGTAACCACTCTTTCTGGGAGATCCTGTACCTTATGATTAGTAAAAGGAGAATATTTGATTATTTCATCCATTTCAACATAGGAAAAACTGTGTGTGGGTAAAAGAGATTAAACAGGACAAATAATATTATCCAACATGTCAGAATAAACCTGAACTTTGCTTGCACCTGAAGAACAAAGAATCACTTCCCTTCTCCCATAATTTCTTTTTGGCCCAAGTGTTCTATATAGGAAAAAAAAGCTTTTTTATATCACACAATCACTTTTTAATATATCTTCACTCTAGGAAAAAAGAAAAATATATAAATATAAAAATAAAATACACGAAATTCCACTCTAGACCTTAAAATTATTTATCAACACATTTTCTCCACTGTTTCTATGGTTTCCTTTTTCACATTTAAATTTTAATCTATCAAATTTATTTTGGTGTAAGGTGTGATGTAGGGATTTAACTTTATATTTTCTAAATGGCTAGTCAATAGTCTAAATAACACTAAATCAATAATCAATAGTCCATCTTTTCCCTACTAGCTTGAAATGTCATTGTTCAAAATTTGTTTTGTCAACCATTAAGGTTTTGGTGGAGTTTGCATGAAAATTATAGAAAAAGTTAGAAAATATTTTTGTTTATGTTTTTGAAAAAGTTTCTATGTACAGATTCTATATTTTTATTAATTTCTAGATATTTTGTATTTTTGTTTCTATCAAGATGATAATCAAGACATTTTCCCCTTGCTTTTCCCTTTTGCCCATTGCTTTTGCTGTATCATAAAAAAATGTTTATTTATTTATTTATTTTAAACCAGCCAACCTAACTAACCTTTACAGTTAAAATTAAATAATTAAAAATATTTCTAATAGTTTTTATGCTAAACAATTTCTGCTTTGAGTAATGAAATCATAGACCTTACACTAATTATTCTTTGTCTTTTTCATGAGGTATTTAGCTTTTTGATGTCTAATTACCTTGACTAAAAATTCCAGAACATAACAAGTAACAGTCTTGATATTCTGATATTAAAACTATCTTAAGAGACACCTAGTATAGTTCTTGGCTTTATGAGAATGTTTTATAGGTTCACTCTTAAGCATATTACTGACTGTTAACTTAAGAGAAAAGTTTGATACATGGTAGCAAAATCTCCATTTATTCATATTTTATTAATTTTTAATAATTAGAAATTGGAATGAATGTTGATTTTTATTAAGGCTCCCTTGCTTTTATAGAAATAATCATATTTTTCCTTTTAATTTTCCCTATTAATATAGTGAACTATATTAATAAATTATTTTAATAGTTATGGAATAAAATCTCCTTGATTATGGTAAGTTATTCTTTTCATATGTATTGAGTTTTAGCTGCTAATATTTTATTTTGAAATTTTACATTAAAGTTTTTTATGTATTAAAGGCAAAATTTGTAGTTTGAGAAAGGGTTTTCAATGTCAGCAATAGTTGATTTTGACAAATGTTGATTTTGATCAACAATAGTTGAGCCATATAGTTTTCAACTTTTTTTGGTATCATAGGATGATTAATAAGACATCTGAACAAAAAACAAAAAATTCTTTTAGAGAATTCATTCCTTTGTTGGTTTTCAAACATGAATCTTTGCATCAAAATGAAACAATTGCTTTTACAAAGTTTCAGCTTTCATTTTTAAATGAATAACAAAATTTTCTCACTTAAGCAAGGCAATAAAAAAGCTTCACAAAGAAATCAACACAACATTGTAGAACAATTATCCTCCAATTAAAATAAAAGACTAAAACAAAAACTTCACTTAGATAAAGCAAAGTAAATGACTGGCAAACCTGATGCAAAATTAACTTGGAACATAAATTATGAATGCCCAGGAAGTAGTCTGACTTGGGTTAAAAATCTACCATTTATTAGTTGAATGAACTCAAGTGAGATTTTTAACCTTATTCAGCCTTGGTTTTTACAACTGCAAAATCAGAATAGTATCTTTTTTATACCAAATATCAGAAAGATACACTGTGTACCCACACACATGAACATAATTAACTATGAAGCAGTGGTTCTCTAAATTTAGGATGAATGACACCTATAAATCTCGTGTAAAGTACAGATTCCCTGGTCCTGCTCTCAGAGTATGAATGTCGTGGGGCACAGGAAT